CTCCGTCGTACCTGATTCAATCAGGAGAATATCGCGCTCTCCAAAAAGGGATAGACATGGTTGGGCGCAAGACAATGGCGCAGACCCCCGGCTTTCCCGCTCAATGACCCAATGTGTGAAGGGTTGAATATTCGCACAAGAATCTGAATGAGTCCCCTCCCTTAGCAAGCTGAAGAATGAGTTAATTGGGTAGAACGTAGGGTAGAAGAGAAGGCATCCTATTGAATGCCAGATGCTGCACCCGCCAAGCGTCATTGCACTCTTCCCAATCATGGCTGCTCCACCACTGTTGGCCTCGCACCCCTATAGGGCCCGACCCCGTGCCCAGATACTCAAGGAGTGAGACAGGGCGGGCGTAGCTCGAGGCCCTGGTAGCGCTTGGACCCGGCCTCGATCTTCAGTGTATCCGCCGGGAAAAGGTGGGAAATATCAGAATGGGGAGGGAGGATGCGGCCTCTCTGGTGGTGCCCTCGATTTGGGTGGCTCTGGCCTGTGCTCCCCCCCCCTTCTTCGCCGGCTTCTAGGTGAGGCACGGTGGAGCCTTGGTACTTGGCCCAGTGCAGGTGAGGCACCCACCAGTAGTGGCTACTGCCGTTCCATTCCTGGGAGAAGTTTGCGCCGCCGATGGCTTCTATATGACCCTGGGGCATACCTAACGCCGCGCCATCAGGTATCTGTGTCCGGTACACAAAATGCCCCCCAGAGGACAAAGTGCCCTATGTAGTGGAGATTGCTCTTGGAAGGAAGTGGAGTGAAGCAGAGACGAATTAACCTTCGCAGAAAGTGAGCGCCTAACAAGAATCCCTCGAATGACTCCCCATCTCTCTTCTAGGGATGATAGCCGGACCTGCTAGCATCACAATCTGTCGCGCGTAAAGTTCTGGTCAATGAGGGCACTCAGTAGAATCAGGGCAAGAACCCCACCTCGAATGTTAAGAGTGGTGGTTTTTCTTCGTTATCGTTGATATAATTTCTGAATTTTTGAAAATTCTGCACAGTACTGTAGAGTGGTTGCAGTGGTGGAAGAGAGTAGCAACTGCCCCCGAGTGATTCTTCAATGACACTACTGTAGTCGCCAAGAAAGAAAAAACACGCGCAGCCCGTCCCACTCCCACCCGCCAGCAGGGTACAGTACAGAATGCAACGCGAGACCACAGCCCAACTACCGTACGCTCTCCAGCCCAAAATAGATCCCCATCTTGTATCAGTAGCAGTCCAGGAATGAAAAAAAATCCCAACTCTCCCACCAGTCACCGGGTACAATACTGAATGAATCTCTCCGCACAAGATGCAGGATACAGAGAATCAACATTACTTGTGTATCATGGATTGTGGAGTAAACGCCCCGAGCGCTTTAGTGCCGTTCCCACCAGGCGTAGAGTTATTTCACTGAGATACTGAGCCTCAACAGGCGTCACGCTTCAGGAGCTCTTTCTCTCGCGATCCTGGTAAGGGAGGTGGAGAATCAGGTGAGCAGGTGGTATTATACAAATCAACGGATATATCCCGAAGAAAGGCGAGCATCCAATGGATGGAACGACAAGGGAATCAGGAATATCACCGTTCCTGCATTGCAGCTCTTCAACTGGATCTGGGCTCCGATGGGGCTATCGGTTTAGCCATGTTCGGCTATCTTTCTTTTAGAACCATGAGAGATCTAGCAGAGCACCGATGTACTCGAGTACCGTAGGGCAATCAGTGCCATTGGTACCAAAACCCCGGGAACCCCCCTACTGTAGCTCCTTGCTGAATGCGTATCCCTAGGGCTATCGATGCTACCGGCGCCCATAAGTCACTATCATAGTATGATATATTGGAATTGTAGCTGAAGGTGGTCCTAGGTTTTGGGCAACGTAGAGTAGTACATACTCGAAAATTATGGTGATGTACCCGATGCGCTATATGCCGCAGTCTCGATACCCCACCTCCCACTTTCAAATTTGGATGCCAACCTTAACCGAATGAATTTTTTCGTATACTTTCTTGAGGCATGACATGCTCGATAATTTGTCCCACCAAAAATAACGGAAAACAGCGCCGGGAAACCGCAAGACACTTTGTACGATGGCTCTATCCCACCGATCAAAATTTGCGTAATCACCCCGCGTAATATCAATTACACCCCACCCTACCGGTAGTTCAAGGAAAGAGCTAGAAAGCGAGCAACTCGGAGACTTCTACACAAGGTTCAGTATACAGTGTTCTGGCTGGGCAGGAGTGGGAGGAGGAATCACTTAATTGAAGGTGGCTCACCTGTCCTTCGCTGGAAGCGCCCCCGGAAGGCCCCGATCTACAGTGCCCGCTATCTAGCCTGGGGCTACTAGAACTTCGGGGACAAACACTATCTTGAGATTAGTTCCTATTGCCATATGGTTCGGTCACTTGAATAAGAGACCCCTTTCAGCTCCACAGAGCCGATAGCTCTTGGTCATGAGTGCCGTATTGCAGTGATGTCCACAGGAGATGTTTGGTGAACCCTGGGATCTACCCCAATGAATCCGGTGGCCCGAGCTAGCTTTCCCGTGGTTGGCTGAAATGAGAAGAGGGGGAGACTGGGGGCATGGGACCAGCTTTACCGCTCCCTAGAACTGGGTCTGTGGCTTAACGCCAACCGGGACTATGTATCATAGTGCCGAAAATGCATCAGGTAGCCCTATTTAACATTGCGGGAATTCATACCATTACATGCTGTAGGAGAGCTCTTCTTAGCCACGGAAGGTATCGATAGCAGACCCCACTTTACCCCCCACTTACCGATCTAAAATAGCTAGAAATATTAAAGAGTAGTTTGCGCTCTGGAAAAGACTGGACAAGGAAGCAGAAAGTGGGGATTCACTTTCTGGAGTACTGTAAGACACCGTGCCGGTACTCGAGGGATCTTCCGATACTACGGTTGCTTCCCACCTACTTGGGCGAAGCGTGCCCGGGCGTGGACGTGAGTGATCGTATAGTCAGGGATCTTGAAGACTTGACCTTACTGTCCTCGTGGGAAATGGGGGAGTGGATTGGGGAGCGGATTCGGCGTGGAGATTATTCAGGCAAGTACGGTAAGAAACTTTGATACCTCTAATCCCAGGTTACCCGATCATCCATGTCCATACCCGAGCGGGCGAACCCATAACCTAACTCAAATTTGCCACGAAAACAGCAGCTGAATTTTAAAAAACCGTGCAGTGCACTGGGAAGTGAACCACCAGGGGGCCTGAGTCAAACCTGTCCGATCGGCAAACGTGTTTGGGTAGTCCCACTGGCAGGAGGTCAACTCACGAGTTTGCCTACGGGTATTAAGCTGGGTGCTATGTGTCCCTATGTACCACCAATTCCCACGCCCCCCGGGGCGCGCGACCCTGCTAGAGCCGAGAAAAACATTAGCTCTATCTTTCAGCCCACGGCACTGCACTCCTTCATCCGGGAACACTCGAACAGCCTCGTGGAGAAATTTACTTACAATTAAGCCTCGAGGGATCAGGACCAACGTCAGCTTTGGACAACGCATCAACTACTGGCCGCTGAGTAGCATCGAGTGATCCGGCGTGCCAGGCTCATTGTATACTTATAAACTACCTTAGGGTAGGTAATACTAGTGACCGATCTTGGGACATGGCAATTGTGTGCCATGTCACACTCTCCAAGTCGTGCTAAGCGGCACCCAAACACTGCCGTGCGACGCCCACTCAGTGCTGATAAAGCCTAGCAGAATATGGTATGACTGGCCTGGCGGGTTGAATGAAGGAAACGGGTTGGGTCATATTCCAGCAGCCGGGATGGAAAATTGCAACCTACAATAATATGGTTACCGCAGAAAGGTGCGAGTTAAACACCCTCTGAAGTGTGAGACAGTCTCACCGGGCTGTGGTTCAGTATCGGTACTAAAACCGTCATTTCTAGAATATCTCCCGCGCAGCCTTCACTGCATGTCCGTCAGCTGCAAGAACAGCAAACAAACCGATGTATCCCCTATCCCCATTCCCCCTCCTGCGGAATCCTCAGATGAAAGTATAAGATGCGAATAGAAGGCAAAGGGAAAAAAGGTCCGAGATGTGGAATGGCTGGCGCACTGTATGTCAGGCGAAAAAAGGGCTCTCGAGGGTTGCCCTAACAAGGACGAGATGCGACGAAGGAGTGAGCCTTCCCACCTCAGGTTGAGAAGGACCGAGCCCTCCGTAAACGCGACAATTAGCATCGCTTTTATGGGGTTATACGGGGGCATGATGCATTTACACAATCAGTCAGAGTACTTCATATGTAGTTGGTCAAATCCTGAAGCTCCTTCTGCCCTATCGTACCGGGAGAAGTGGGTCAAACGGCTCCGGGCGAAAGCACCTCCCAGCTCCGCGGGCCGTCAAATTGCACACCCGTAGCTTGACGGGGAGCCTGATACTTTGGATCGGGTCTGAGGATGAGGGTTCGTGGATATAATATTATCATACAGTATCACCTCGCAGGTTCGGCAGGCAACACGGGTGGGAGTTGACTCACTATGGTGTTTTTTCCCCACTATAATGTTGCCAGTCATTCAGGTGTTTTGCGTGTAAAAATTCCGCTCCTACTTGGTTGCGTTCTGCTCACCGTTCCGGGGTTGCCGCGTTTTTGGCGGGGGGCGGGCATATTGGTAGCATGGCGGCTTTATCGAATAATCTAAATTTAGACGGCACACGGCCTTTTTGTATATGATATCACAGGGCAATATCATACTCTTCGTGTATCGCCCTCAGCGTAGGTTATGGAACCAGCAGGAAAGCAATCTATCGGTACGGCAGAGGGGACATCGCTTAGAATGTGAGCCATGGATCTGAAATCAAGGATTATCAAGCTCCCCATTTTACCCGGGTCGGAAACCCCTGCACCCTCGCTACCGGTTGTCCCGGTTTGAAAGCTTCGCCTGTCCGTGCCCGGATGCCGCAGGCCGTACTGACAGATACTGTGAAAATCATTCCGACTCCTCCACCCTACTTCCGCCCACCATCATGGTAGCCCTATTTCAGTGCAGCAAGCTATCATACAAGCACAGGCGCGGGTCTACTACCGTATGATGATACGAGTATCATAGCTTCAACGTGGCATCCTCCGCCGGCGATTTCGGGATGTGGATCTGGATGCGATCTGGATTCGAAAGAAGCTTAATTTTTTTCACGTGACCTTGACCAGATGACCTAAGAATCTTGCCGAAACGCTGTCCTGGATCGCCTTTCAACCCCAAACCTCCGACAGTTGCTCTCCCCTCCTGCTTTACTCCCATCAGCACCACCTTCTGGCAGCCCAAATTTCAGTTAACGGTTTGGCGCACTCTCTCCCCATTCTCGATTCCATCCTGCACGGCTCGGCTAGCTGTAACAACATGGGCAACGGGTGGCTGGGAGCTAAGGAAGTTAGGGGGCCGAGCAAACATGCACTCAACCGTTGGGTTTCTTACACAATGCCCGTGATCATGGCGGGCCTTGTGGGTTTTGCGACATGGGTTTTTGTCGCGCTAATTTGTGGTTAGTTGCTGCTGTGCTTGTTCAAGTTTGTGGGAGGGCTATCGGGTTGCGTGGAGTATCCCACTGACCGACTACAACAGTGAACCATCTTCTAATAGGCCAGGGACGAAAGGGCACAGCTATCGCACTTCTTGTCGTTTACCTCGTCTTGCTTTTACTAATGTCATCGACATATTTGAGACTTCTATGGGTTGTCAGCGCTGATCCCGGCTTTGTGACCAACCAGTCAACTGATTCCGAGAACGAGAAATTTATGGGCAGTGTTGAGAGTCGCAGTGATGCAGAGATAGGGCTAGGGGGAGTTCAGGCAGAAGGATGGCGGAGCGAAGAGGAAACAATACGCTCACCAGAACCTATGCCCGTTGCGGAGAGTCCTCCGGAAGATGGGGCGGAATCCCTCCCCGACGCTCTCCAATCTGGGTCTGCAAAGGGTACCCCAAGGCCCGCCCTTAGCCCTGGCGCCATGGTTCAGCCCACGAATGGTCCTTCTACTATGCCATTCCCCGCCTCCCCATACCCTTCTCATCAGCCGCTAGCTGGACATGGAGCGTTTCCCGGGAACCCACTTGGAAGCCGACCCTATTGCGCTTATGGACCACCTCGCCCTAACACAAGTGCTGGATACCAAAATCTGGACGAATGGTTCCAGCGGGATGCATTTGTTTGTGAGAACGACGGGCTTCCTAGGTGGTGTGTTCATTGCCAGCTCTGGAAACCAGATCGATCGCATCATTGTAGCGAGCTGCAGAGGTGTGTTTGGAGAATGGATCACTTTTGCCCTTGGTTTGTTGTGCCTTAATCCCAATATAGATGTCCTACGTATTTGTGCGGGTTCATGTGCTGATCCCAGGGTTGCTTTCAAGGGTTGGCGGAGTCGTTGCCGAACCCTCCTACAAGTTTTTTTACCAGATGGTTTTCTACGGAGCTCTATACTGCCTATTCCTTATCATATCAATCGCTGTAATTTTCCGCCAGCAAATTAGTGATGGTGGTAACCAAGACCCTCGATGGGTTGCTTGCTTAGCATTGTAAAATCTCCGCGCCCCTTAAGTCGTATTCACCTTATCGAATTCTCTAACGAGTTTTCTTTAGAACCTGTGTATTCGGCCTCTTCTCGGGCGGAATGGCCGGCTCAACAACCCAGCTCATTTACCGGAATGTCTCAACAATTGAGAGCCTGAATTACAAGACCAAAGTTTATCAACTAGCGCTACACGATCCAAATCCTACCCAGACACCACCTCCTAGCCCGCAGATATCAGCAGTCGCGCCGACCAGAATATGGCTCCCGCGAGAGCCAGGCCCCGGCCAGAGGCAAAGGTGCTTTGCTATTGTCAGAACGCGACCGGGGGACAACCCCTGGAGGCTTGCCAGTACATTGGAGAATTTTGAGGAAGTACTGGGCTATAGTTTTTGGGACTGGTGGCTACCAATCAAAAGAAGCCCGTTAGAGGCAAAGAAGAGCGGCGAAGGTTGGTACCGCTGGAATGAGAAGCTTTTGGCTAGGCTCAAACGCCAGGCTGGGATTGCCCAACCTTCGAGCCAGAGCAATTGAAGGTATTGCTAAATTCTTGCGATGGAGGGTATCGCTTGTGATATCAGGGGATGGCTGACCACCGGCGCGTATGACTTCTATACCTTGTTTTTCTTCTTTCTTTTCCTGAAATTCTTGTTTTCGGGAGTTGCAACATTGTTTCGGAGCGTCGTCATTTGGATCAAGCGGCTTGTATTTCCTTTTTCGTTCATTCCCAGGGCGGGGGAGCTTTCTTGCCCCATAATTCCGTGTTACAAGATTCACAGTGTCGTATAGAGTCGCGTTCTCTTTTTTCGTTATCTGTCAGATTGAGTGGATGGACGTGCATAGTGCATACGTGCTTCCGGTTGTTAGTGTAGTTTCTAGTCTCGAATATAATATCATGGTTACCGTGCTATCTGTCCGTTCTCGCGATCTGAGCCCCATGAGAACGAAACTGTGCATCACTTGTTCGCACCGTGAACAGAGTTGGCCTCCCATATGGAGCAGTTGTGGCATCTCCTAAGCCGCACCCTATCAGCTTTCTTTCACGACCCAGGATCACTGGCCGTGAAGTCCAGATAAACACTACTGAAAATGCAGGCCTTTCCCCATTGCTGCGTCAGCTGCAAGTAAGCCCCGTTCAAAGCTAGCTCATAGTAGGTAATCATCATCCGGCAACAGCTCAAACAAATTGAAAAAAAGAAAACAATCGCCTAGAAACATACCACGACCGAGTTCCTCATTTACTAGCGCGTGTGACCACCCGTTGGCCTGGGGGACGAGCATCACGGTGGGTCACTCGCTCATATGCAGAGCTTAAATCTGGTTATCGGTATCGGTGAGGGATCAAGCACGCGATGATCTCCCGGGGAGGGGTCGGTGCGTATGTGCAACTGAGTGACTCGAAATCCTTTTGCATTTTGAGCCGCACGCCGCTTGGGCTTCCCGGAAACGTAGTGCTCGGGGGGGGGGGGGGGGGTACGTTGGACTCCGGTGCCCTTGGGGAGATCGCACATTTCCCACTGGGTGCTGAGTGAACTTGTATGATAGAGGGCCTCACCTAGCGTATCCTTCCTTCAGTTTCCAGTGAATAGCCCCTTTCGGGGTATAGAGATAAGATGCGTTCAATTCCCTCGTAGGGTAAGCAGAGCCATGCGCAAGGCCGTCCCAGACCTAGCCGAAGGAAATGCACGTTTATGGATACAAATCTACCGGCGATCTTTCCACAGCCGTCACATCACTAGCGGTACGGTAGGCTTGCAAAGTGTAGGAATGGTGCGAATTATCCTCGTTCGAGTGGGTGTTATTGCGGGGTATTGTTGAGGTGTGGGGCATAGCAAGGCGGAGGAGCGGTGCTTGTAGGCACGCTGGTCGTTAAAATAGAAGTTTCGTGCATGGCAAATTGGGGGCTGGATTCGGGGGTTTTGTGGTCGAAGTGCACTTTCGGGCATGGATATATATGCCTCTTAGTCATTCCCAACAATTCATAGGGGAGGGGGAGGGGAGTTTTGCTTCGGGGGAGCTTACCATTGTGAGCATTACCAACTTAGTTGAGTTGAAAGAAGCAAGTTTGGTTGGTTCGCAGGTTTCCTGGAGAGCGATTTTACGGAGTTGATTCGAAAAGGGGTGATGTTTCCTCACGCCTGTTGTATACTCAGATATGTTTGATTCGCCTGCCTTGTTTTCGTTTTTTGAGTCTCGTGAGGGGTTCGAATTTGGAATTGAGGGAGCGCTATTTAGGTACCATAGTCACTCGGCTTATAGAGACCGTTACCGAGAGGGCGGTTGGCAAGAATATACCACTTTCAGAGGGGGCGAGGATCATCTGAACACTCACTGGCCAATTAGCAAGAACGGTTGGGTTTGATCTCCCGTATGCCTTGATGTTTTTCTCCTACTTTCTTCCCTCTATAGCACAGCCCAATGCCAAATTTAGTCCCCCCCCCTTTGGCAACGTCTCTATATACCGAGTGGTTATGGTATGATACTCACCCACATTAAATGCGGACAGAGATTAAGGTTTTGTGTGCATCGCCGTCGTGAGACAATCTTCCCGACGGGAGATTGAGCTAGCGTATGAAAGGCAAAGAGCATCGAATAGGGGGAGTCCCTTCTGGTCGCGCCCGGCCAGGGAGTCATGATCGCTGCACAAGTCAGCAGAGCCAATACCCTCCTCAGGATTGGAAATCAGAGGGCTCTCACGGGAGTCTCACCGGTCATAGAAAAAACGACTTTTTTGCTTCCTTCTGATTCCACGTCCTGGGCGCGGTCAGAGGCTGAAATTTTCCGCGTGCCTGGACCAGTTTCACCGCCGAACGAGTACCCCGCCGCACTCGAGATGGGTGATTAGGTGCCCAGGGATTAGGGGGGTAACGCACAGTAGTAGAGGGAAACGACCCCAAACGGGGAGGGACAACGAACAGCCCCACCAGATTTGACGTCTACCACGAGATCTTTTGGCGTATTCTTCACCGCCCCCTCCACTATTCGTATGTTCTCAAAGCTTCTTGCTTGCCTGAACTATTTCCATACCACATTTATTCCCTCATTTCCTATGATAAGAGGGTAGCAACGGCTAGGCCCCAGACCCCAGAGCGGCCGATCGCGATCACCCACCTCTATACTGTACTCGAGTACCGATGACATGACAGCCTTCCGATATATTATAGGAGTGAATATCCCAAATTTCGTCTTAGCGTTCATAGCTGATCACCTGCTCCATTTCCCCCGTCCAACATCCACAAAACGGCGGAGTCGTGGTATTGGGGACAGAATCTGGGACCGAGTCGCAGGCATGCATCTGAGCCGCTGGCAGAGGTAGAACTCACTGGACGATACTACGTTGGGAAGTCGCTTTCTTTATGTAAGGGTATTGGATTATACCAGTTTAGCCGTTGGTGCCTGTGGGGTTGCCTTTGGCCCTGCGGGAAACGTTCCGTCTCTCCCACAGGCGCTCTCCAGGCGCAAACATCAACTTAGGAGGCATCCGGATCCCTGCAGCTTACCAACCCAGACCATGTTCCTACCTGGGGCTCTTATCTCCCTAGGGTAGCGTCTCCCCCTCCCAGAGAAGCTTCTGTCACATTTGTCGTTCGTTCTCCGGCGCTCCTGGTGTTTCTAGCCACCTCTAACTTGGTAGTGTCAAATTCTGAAAAGAAAAAAACACACATACTCCGTTACGTCCTTAGTCGGCGTGTCTGTCAGGTCTGTAGTCCACCGCCTGCGTCTCTGATTGCCTGACAATCCCAAAAAGTGATGTGCAGAGACAGGCGGGAGCTCTAGCCAACGCGAGGAGGTTTCCGCCAGTGCAACGCCGGCCCCTACTATCCCTTAGACTCTATCGCCGAGACAGTCAGTAAGGAGCCTAGATTATCATACTTTATACCGAGGGACACTAGCAGCGGGCAGGCGGACGTTCGTTCTAGCTTAGTAATAGTATGCAAATTTACCAAGAATACCCTCATCGGCAAATCCCATAGCAAATGTCTCCTAAGTTGGGCTTATGATATGATACCAAAGCTTTGACCTACTACTGAACCCTAACACCTCCTTGAAAACTTGAGATATTCCTATTTTCTCTCTGTCAATATAGAGAATCACTCACTATCCAGCTGACAGCGGTAATTTCTCGTCGGAGTAGTGGTCGAATGTCCTTCGCAGGTTGATTCTGAGCAATACTTTGGCATCAAAATGCTCGGGTTACAGACTTGCCCCACCATACTTGTACTCGGGTGAGGAGGTGGGTGATCGGACAGCCAGGGATTCCAGAGGCCCTACCGGTACTTCCCTATCAGGAAGTACCAGTAGGCCGAATGAATTTGGTATCGGAGTTCGGGCAGGCGAGAACTTTTGGTAAGTTACCCCCTAATAACCTGGTGTCCGGTCACCCGCACTCACACCCGAGAGCTGCCGGTATCCAGTCTGGAGGGCAGCGCTCTGGAAGGTTGGGATGGCCCCCGGTGGCGGCTAGGATTGAAACGGGAGTAAGACAATGGTTCAGAAGTTGAGTGATATCCTGTGATAATTTCGAAAGTGGTTCTCCATAAACTCTAACTTAGGTTTACCATGCCCGGGCAGAACCGTCGCCGATGATCGGGGGCTCCGGACACAGCCAAGAGCTTGCTTCTATTGGGTACGACGTTTCCGTACCTAGCGAGCGCCCCCGCATAGCTAGCACTCGTCATTTATTATCTGGCCTTTTATTGGACTGTGCGGTTTTAGATAGTAGTTGGAAGGATTTTCTAACCCAGCACAGTGCCCGCTGTGCCTGATTTTCGCTAAGTAGGGAAATGTTGTACAAGTACCGTAGAGGAGTTTTTATACAGACGGGTGTGTCCCGCGGGCTCACTTGTATTAATTCTTCACCAGCTTTATTCTGGGTATCACGCTTGCACCATTAAGTCCTCCGTGTCCGGGAAGCTATTACGATGCCTACGAGTTATCATGGGGTTACAATGCACGTCTCTATACAACGCCAGAAATCCACGCATTTAGTTACAGCACTACAGGTAGATAGTTGAGTGGGGGTGTTGGAAGGGAAGAGGGGAGGAGAAAAGGTTTCAAAAAAAACCCCCCCAATCACGACCTGATACGCTTATATGGTGATGCCATCGTACTGTATTCCTTGCGCGATTAGATTTAACTCTGTGTCATTGTCGACGAATAGAATATTTGGCGGTTCGTTTCACTGGCTCGTCAGATTTGCTGCAGGCATTTCTAATGAAAGCAGTCCGACCCTACTACACATGTGCGTTCTAAGTCTTACTGCCACTTTTGCTATGGTTCCCGTTAGTCCAAGAGTTAAAAGCCTCCATTCGGGTTAGTGGTCAAAAATTGTGCTTCAAGAGTTTGTGGTTAAGCGCCCCTTCCTATAAATCTAGGTAGTAGGACAACGTGAAGCAAAGAAGGGAACGGTACGAAAGCGCACCAAAATCAAGGGGTTTTCAAGGATCCGAGCAGCACAGAGACCTTGAAATTGGTTCTGAAAAACAACTATACTATCTGCATACATAATATGAAGCACGGCACATGATTTTTCCAAATCCTTACATCCCATATATCCAGAGTGGGCCATGTTTGAAGCGGATGAGACTAATTGAAGCCTCTCTTTCCCACACAAAATCACTATCTTGGCACATGTTATATCTTGAAGTTTTTAGGATCAGATGCCCCGATATACTTCAGGAACTGAAGTGAAAAAGCCCTCTGGTTTTCCTCCGATCGCCCTATGTTAGAGCAAGTTTTTCATTCCTTTCCTGTCGGTTTCTGGTTCAGGATGACCGAGTAATTATAGTTCAAAAAACCTAGCTAGGTTTAATGGGTTTTGGCTACCTCCCACCTTTCCACATTCAATTACCACAGTCATGTCGTGGCATCGCGTGTTTCGGTATTTGAGATACCTTACTATTCCATAT